CAGAACCAATAGTGGATATAGATCTAGGTGTAGGTATAAATATAGATATAGATAGGAATTTATTATAAGGAATTGGCTCAAGCAATCATGGAGACTGCCAGATCCCAAGACCTACCATCAGCAAGCTAGAGACCCAGAAGTGGGGATGCCTGAGCTCCACTGGGATTCTGAAGACCTAAGAACCTAATGATGTCCTTTCCATCCAAATGTATAGGCTTGAGTCCCAGGCAGAGCTAGTGCTTCGGTTTGAGTCCAAAGGCAGAAAAAACCCAATGCCCCGAAACAAATGCACTCTGGCAGTAGTTCCCTCTTCCTTGTGAGAGAGTCAATCTTCAACCTATTGGATGAAACCTACCCACATTACCAGGGCTATCTGCTTTACTCAGTGTACCAATTCAAATGTTCATATCATTCAGAAATGTCTTTCAGACAAACCCAGAGTCATGTTTGACCCATGTCTGGGCATTCCATGGACCAGTTACACTGACACTTACAGTTTGCCATCATACCCAGCAGGGAAGGTCTTTCATTATCCTGCTAGAATAGGCCGTTATACCCATAGTTTCCCCTGTAACTCCCTCCCCTCAGTCATTCAGAAGCTAGTTTTTAAATTAATTAATTAATTACTTTGTTTTTATTTATCTTTAAGATTTTATTTATTTGAGAGAGAGTGTGTGTGTACAAGTGGAGTGAGGAGCTGAGAGAGAGGAGGAAGCAGACACCCCACTGAGCAGACACCCCACTCTAGCCTAATGTGGGGCTAGATCCCAGGACCTTGAGATCATGACCTAAGCCCAAGACAGATGTTTAACCGACTGAGCCACCCTAGAAACTACTTTATTTCCTTTAAAGCATCTTGACTGTTCATAACAATGTGTTTTCAAAGACGTTTTTCCCTTTGTTTCCATGTGATGACCCTTTTCTTAGTTTGAAGTCCTCAAAAAGCAGAAGCTGAAACAAGAATTCAAATGGAAGTCATTTATTTGGGAGATGATCCCAGGAATCACCAGAAAGGAGTGGGAAAGAAAGACTGGAAAGGGAAGGAAAGCAGTAGGGCTAAATCATAAATTAAATTAACTATTGGCTCAATCCCAGGGTTGAAGTTGGGATCTGGGGAAGAGGAGGACTCTCTCAGAGAAGCTTCTGAATTAGACTACCTGAGAAGCAGAGAAATGTCTACTTAAATGCAAATCCTGGCAGTCATTTGTGAAAAGCTGCCCTCTTGGGGGTGTTAACTCTCTGCTATTTCTCCAGTGGCCTCTGGCAACCCAGAGAAAGTCTTCAGGCAGAGACCCAGGGGCTGGGGGCTGGAAGGCAGGCTGGCAAGCACCAAAATGTCAAGGAATAAGGGGGTGTAGGGAGGGCACCCACATCTGTGGGGAATGCACTGAAGCCCTTCCTTCCCCCCAGCTAATTCTAACTCACCCTTTAGGATTCAATTTAAGAGACACCTGGGTGGCTCAGTGGTTGAGCATCTGCCTTAAACTCAGGGCATGATCCCAGGGTCCTGGGAATGAGTCCTGAATGGGGCTCCCCACAGGGAACCTACTTCTCCTTCTGCCTGTGTCTCTGCCTCTGTGTGTGTGTGTATGTGTCTCATGAATAAATAAAATCTTGAAAAAAAAAAAAGGATTCAACTTAAGTCTCACCTCTTCTGGAAATCCTTCATAGACCTTCTCTCTGATTTAGCTGCTTCTGGTCTGTTTCCCAGTAAAACCTCTGCCTACCTGTACCAGAGAATCAGTTCCTTCCTCTTCTGATTGTTGTTCCCACTTATTTGTGAGCTTCTTGACATAATAGATAATCAACTCTATCTTCAGGGTCTCCCATAGTTCCCACATATGGTGTGGGTCAATAAATGGTTATTTAAGTAGTAAAAGTAGTGATAATAACGACACTGTAACACTAATGGCTGGTATTTATTGAATGCTCATTCCGTGTAAGCACTGTACCTGTATTACCAACTCTAGAAAGCCAGTACTTTTATTATCCCTATTTCTCAGAGAAGAAAGCTGAGGTATAGGTTTACATAATTTGCCCAAGATTGCACACGTATATGTGATTTGGCCTGGAAGTAAATCCAAGCAATCTGAATCCAGATCCTGGATACACTCTTAACCACTGTATGGATAAATGAGTGAAATGGATGAATACATGGATACTAATCAAGTCTGATCCTTCAACACCTGGGGACATTCCAGGGATGATGTTATCAATGGAGTCTATAAAGTTCAAATATCAGCTCTAATGTCGCATATTCCAAAAACCCTTCCCAGTTGCCTACTGGAAACAGCTAGCCCTCCCTTGACACCTTTTGTAATGCTGACTACTCTCTATTATATGTTCAAGTTTATCTGTGTGTCTTACTTTCCTTACTAATGATAAGTTTCTAGACATCTGTATAATCTGATTCGTCTTGGTATTTTTCTATTTCCCCAGACATCAAGCCACACATACAAATGTTTGCCACATGTAAAAAGGGTACATAGTTGACAAGCAAAGGGAACTTTGACTCTTACTTAATCTTTCCCTGGAAACTGTGGAAGACTCTTTTTTATCCTACTCTGAGATTCCAGAAAGTCTGTTGTCATAGAGATGGTACTCTATATTTTAGATAGCTCTGAAAAATAAAATTTTGTTTAAATATATTAAGTTAAAAAATATATTAAGTTCAGGGAGAAATCTGTGAAGAGTTTACTTTGTAACATTTTGAAAATCCCTTAGCTAAAAAATTATATTTCTAAGAGAAAGATAATCTTTTTACCAAAATTATAGTCATAGAAAAAAAGAAATAAATTATGTAGAAAATCACTAATGTTTCTAACAATTAAATGGAAGAAAATTTACTTCTTTAAAAATTAACCAAGGCCATCAAGAATTACTTCCTAAGACCTCAAATTAAATGCATTTTCATTCCCAGTGACTGGTAGATCTATAATCTTCATTTGTAATTAGCACTTTGAAGAGTGTCACATTGACTAAATTTGGCTAAGAAATTACAAAATTTAAAACATATATCTGAGAGGAAATTACAAATCCTTAGTCCTCATTGTTTGCAAATCATCATATGCATACATGCTGTCCTGGTATGTAAAAGATAGATAGGAAATATAAACATGGGAATTCTCCAATTTGACTAAAAAATCAGAGAAAATTAAAAACAAAACCTCAGAGATTTTATTCAAGGGAAATTTTTAAATGGATTTTAGTATATAAAATTAATTGCTTTCAGTACCAGAGAATACAAAAGAACATAAGACATAGTCTTTAACTTTGCAGAATTTATGATTGAGAGATGGGCATCTGCAAGACAGATGTTCCAACAAGTAGACTTCTCATTTAGTGATAATAATAACTCCTAGGTAGCACTTAACATTTTAGTAGCTGTCCTGGTACTGTATGTGGCATTATCTCATTTAGTCCTTACAACAACTCTATGTGGGAAGCATTATCATCCCAGTATCTTATAGCTGATGAACCTGAAACTCATAACTGTTGGGTGACTTCTCCAAGGCCATATGCCTAAGGAATGGGTGAGTGGAGGAGCCTGTATGCAGACCTCAGCACCAAAGTCCTTAAAGTTGATACCTAGAAGTCATTAAAAATAAGGTACACCAAAGAGACTATTTACTCAAACTGGAATGGATGGAGCAGACATTATCGTGTTATGTTTGGGCTTGAAGGGTGAGTGTGAACAGACATGGAGAAAGGCATTGCTTCCAAGACTGGGGTGGATAGAGGAAACTAACAAGAGATCTGAGAAAACAGAATCAGGCAGTGCGTGAGTGAAGGTGGTAGCATCAGTGGAACAGGGGAGGGGAAACTGAGAAAAGTGGTCAGGACCAGATACTTTTGGCCTCAAGTGTTACCCATAAAGAATCTAGACCTGTCTCATGAGGCAGACAGGAGTCACTGAACAGTCCTGGACCAGATCAGAGCCCTATTTTAAGACTGATTTGGCAGTTACATGTAAAGGGAGTTGGAATCAGGAGTGGGAAAAAGAGAAGAGCAGTTAGGAAACCACAAAATAGGGAAGTCTGAATTTGAGTTGTACCAAAGTGAATAGAGAGGAAAAAACATGACAACAAGACAGAATTTGGGACACCTGGGTGGCTCAGTGGTTGAGCATCTGCCTTTGGCTCAGGCTGTGATCCCGGGGTCCTGAGATCAAGTCAAGCATCGGGTTCCACACAGGAAACCTGCTGCTCCCTCTGTCTTTGTCTCTGCCTCTCTTTCTGTGTTTTTCAAAAAAAAAAAAAATTAATAAAATCTTTTTAAAAAAGACAGAATTTGACACTGCCTGGATGTAAGCAACAGTGAAGGAAAAGATATGACAACACGTCAAAAGTTCAAAAAGCCACTGTCAGTCAGAGTGCAGATGAAGCATGCATCCTTGCCCAGTTACAGGGGTTTTCAGTGGGATCAGGGGAGTTGAGTGGGAATGACACAACTGGGGTGGGGTGGGATGGGGTGGGGGTGGGCTGCCCTTGAATTTCCTGGTTTAAGGTTTGGATTCGTGCGTTTAGCAAACTAGCACTTGTCACAGTGCAGTGCAGGGATTGGCCCCCACGTCAGCCTACACTCAAATGGTGACCTCCACGTTTCTTAGATATTTGAGGCCAGTGTGCATCCCTTTCATTGATACAAAAAGTGCAGCATTTAAAGTGTGTGATTTTAATTTTTTGTCCTTTTAGGAGTTGAAATGACCAAAGTGACCAAACATAACTTTTAAAAGCAAAACATTATTTGTTGCATATGTAGTTTTGTTAGACATATATAACAATTTTTAAAAGGAAACATAAACCCTAAGTGTTAAAATTGTGCTCCAATGCCTATTTACATTACACTAATTTAGAATAATAATGTAAGACAATAGAAATGTATGGTCTACGACTCTCTTTTCTACTGAGTTTTTTCTTGCCTTTGAATTTTTATTAGATTGGAGAATTCTGGCTAGCTTTCATATGAGTTTTTCTTTGTCTTTTCCCTTTTCTAAATAGATGATAATAATGAAGAAGAAGGTGTTGACATGAAAGAAGACTCAGGTATTAAATTTATGATTTTTTTCATAAAGGATAGGCAAAGATCATTTTGTTGTGTATTTATGCATCACGATTTTTCAAATAAAAACATAATAAGGTTGATAAAATAGGTGAAGGAGATTAAGAAGATACTTATCCTGATGAGCACTGAGTACCACCTGAAATTGTTGAATACTGTATTGTAAACTTGAGATTAATACAACACTGCATGTTAACTATACCAGAATTAAAAGAAAGAAATAGAAATGTACATTCAAGGTCATAAAATAAGAAAGTAGTTGTGTTAACTTTTATGGCTAATACAATTCGTGTTTTTAAGAAGTAAACTTTGAGCTTCCTGAAAGCTGATGTAAAAATGGAAACTGATGTTATAATAAATAGTTCTATGTAGCAAATCATCCCAAAGCTTAGTGATTAAAAGCATCTGCTTATTATGCTCATATATTCTGTGGGTCAGGGATTCAGGCAGAACACAGCAAGGCTGACTTGATCTTGCTGCTCTCCGGGGTCTGAGGCCTCATCAGGGAGCCGCAGTGGCTGGGGTGCTGGAATCATGTGAAGATTTGCTCATTCACATGTCTGGCTGGCAATTGATACCAGCTCTCGGCTGAGACCCAAGCTGGGGCAGCTTTCTGAAACACCTCTGCATGACCTCTTTCTATAATCTGGGCTTCCTCATAGCATGGCAGCCAGGCTCCAAAGTGGTTTCTCTAGAGAGACAAAGTGAGCCAGCAGGAGCTCTACCCTTTTGAAGCCTCAGCCTCAGGAGTTGCACAGAAAACTTCCACAAAATTCTTTTTTTGTAATAGTTATTAAGAAGCCTGCCCAGTCTCATGGAGAGAGAAAATAGGCTCAATCTCCTGATGGGGAGCAGTGAGGTTTTGTAGAGCATGGAAGACCTGAAAACTTGCTGTGGCCACCTTTGGAAACTATATTTGGTACAAATGATATGTTGTTCTATCAGAAATTAAGATGCGTGCCTACCCCTCAAGAAAGACTAGTGTTTGATGAGGGAAATCTGGTGGTTGCAGACATTGGATCTGGCCTAAAGTGGCCACTCAGTAAGTGCTTGTTAATGAATGTGTGAATCAATAGGCCTGAATTCAATGCTAAGTCCTCCATTTATGGACTTGGGGTAAACATTTTCTCTATAAGCCTCAGCTTACAGTATTGTAACCATACAGTCTTATTTGGGAATTAAATGAGATATCATACCTGAAATATCTCTTGGATCTTAGTGAACACTGACTAAATTATCACTTTTTGTCTTTCTCCTCTAACAGATATAGAACTTAATCCTATAGTATGAGAGCTCCCTATTCCGCATTTTGGCAATTTTGTTCTAGGCATGAAATGGGACCAGTTTTAAAAATTAAAATATATATCTTAGAGGTTCTAATTTTCTGCAACCTGCTAGTCGATGCCAGAACTGATTAATGCCGTCCATGAATCACTGGCAACCTCAGCCCGAACATCTCCATTAACAGGGAGCAATTTAAATTCTGAGGTAAACAATCTCTGCTAGTCAAGATTTTGGTTAAAATGGTCCTTCTCCTTATTAAGTTAAATCTCTCTCTCTCCCCTGATCTCCTACTGTCTTCGTAGAAAATACCAGCAGTTCTTTTCTTCCTAACAGCTCACTGGAGCAGTGATCATAACATCTGTCTAGCTTCTAGCTTCTTTTCCAGCCTGAACATGCCTGAGTCATATGATTCCCTTGGTCTCCCCAGGGCATTGGATTCAGAAGGCAGGAGAAGTAGAGGAAGAATCTACAAGCCAGGAGCAGGAAGGAAAGAGGTTTTACTGCTGTAATAGCAGTTCCCTGCCTGTATATCCGTGTATTCACTGTTGTTTGACAACACCAAGAGCTTTCTAAGGAAAGTTCTTGTGACTCTCAGCTGAGTGTTTTTTGCTGGTCACGAAAAAAACTCAAAGTGCCAGGGAGTTAATTTCCCTGGAGTAGCCCTCAGTCGATGATGGGCAGGAGTTGGTTGACCCCAGCAGGACACATCTGAAATTGAAATAAAATGGGAGCCTCAAATGGGAGCCTCATGTTTAATTTCAGATTTTCTAGTAATCACATGGAAAAAGTAAAGAGAAACAAGTGAAATTAATTTAATTATATTTTATGTAATATATCCAAAATATTACCATTTCAACATATAATCCATATAAAAATTATATTAGCCTGATTTTTACATTCTCTTTTTGACATACTAAGTTTTTGAAATGTGTGTGTATTTTATATCCAACTCTCAATTCAGACTAGATACATTTCACGTATTTTTGGTAATGTGTGGTATTGGACAACAAGATTTTATACCATCACCCAGAGGTCCCCAGTGGAACTTGCTCACACCCAGTTTTGGTTGTGCCTTCCCTCTCCTGTCTCACTTCCCTACTCCTCTCTGCCATTTTCTGGGATAATTTTTTAAATTAAATATTTGTACTCAAACCCTTGTCTCAGTGTCGTCTGAGAAAATCCAACAACCTAAGACAAGGACTCTGTTTGCCTTTTGTAAAACATGAAGCCCAAGGTGAAATTTCAATTAGAATATCCATTCCTATACTCATGAGAGATGCCTTATTATTTTTTTAAAAATGTTGAAAAAAGACTTTAAGTGGTCACCCCTATCATGGATTAAATTCCATGAATTTAATGTTAATTTCTGGTATTCTCCTTTATCCTGCTCACATGAAGTATCCTTGGAATATCCTTCAGCCATGGGGAATACTGCCCTTTCAGTCGGCCAGCTTAAGGACCTTATCTTGCTAAGGATCATTTGCCTAAGTGCCATAAGTACACATTTCTAGGCAGGGGGAGTTGACTTCTTAATGAGATACAGCTAGCTATCCAAACCACTAAGTGATTTTAAAGAAATCATTATTAATGCTAATGCAGAGCCCATAAGGTTAGAGTCAGCATATGAGGTTCAGCGGGAGGGAGGGGGCTTTAATTGGATCTTCATTTCTGATTTTAGTCTTGTCAGGTTTTCTGGGGGTCTTATGTCCAGCAGCTGGATGCAGCTATTAAAGTCACACTCGATGGCCCCAGGATACTAAGTCACTTAGGTTAGAATGGGCTTGGGAAACTGCTCTCCATTTCCTAATACCAGAGTGCTGAAATCATGGGGGATTGCTGCATGGAATGGTTCCATCATGTGTCTTGCCAGAGATTGGTGAACATGCTGGCTTCAGTTCAGATCTCATACTCAGGCATGCTGGTCTCTAAGACAGGTCTCTAACCAGGCCATTAAGTGCTGCCTTTCCCCTGTACCACCTCTTCTCTTCATACAACTAGAAATGCTGGAGGGACTTTTAAGAATGCAGCTGACATTAGTGAAGAGCTACTTGGGAGAAATAACTGGCAAAAAAAAAAAATGCTAGTGACTGGTAGTGAATAACAATCTAAATACCAAAAACCAGTGAGATGCTGTCAAATGGACTCTCTGCATGGAGGAAACCCCAATTTAGGGTGTTTACAATTTCATTAGTGTAAATAAACCCACCAGCATGGTGTTCAAGCTACCAAACATGAGGTCAATGAATGTGGGAATTGAGGATAGATAGCTATAGTCAGCTGGCTTACGTCAGCCCCAGCATACATCTCCTGAGCCAGATTTTAACTGAGCACATACCTTGTGCCAATCACTCAATATACATGAACTCATTTAAAATATAGTTTAAGAGAAATTAGTTCCCTGGCTTAAATAGCAGAGCTATTAGTTTGTCTCACCCCAAAGCTCATACCCTTATACTCCTGTCCCTAGACAGGAGACTAGAGAAATTAGTTCCCTGGCTTAAATAGCAGAGCTATTAGTTTGTCTGACCCCAAAGCTCATACCCTTATACTCCTGTCCCTAGACTCTAAGTATAGGCAGGAGCATCTCAGGTGGTATGAGACAAGGCCATCCTCAAAGTGAGGCTCTGCCTCCATGGAGAATGATAGACTGGCTGAAATGCTTAGGATTCTCTTTAAGGCCTTTATCAGTTTCTTTAATCCTAGCTTAGAAAAAGGTTTCCCCATGTCCTTCCATTCCCAAGACCATGCATTGTTGAAATGGGCCTGAACAAGAGATAGAAAATCAACAGCTACCTAGGCAATTCAGCTACATAAGAGAGAGGAGCACAGTTGAGTTCTCCAAGTGGCAAAGCTATGCTCATGGCAAAGCTCCAGGTCTCCATCTTCTGCCAGAAAGAGAGGCAACATAGACAATATGATATGCTGTTAAGGAGAAGTATGGGGTAGTTTGGAGGAATGTTCCTTCATCTTCCCTAGATCAAGAGGGAGAGTTGTTTCTGCTGAACCACAAGTATAAACCTGGGCACAAAGGCCATGTGTATCAATGACTTTCATTCAAGTGCCCCCATGGGTGTTAAGAAATGATACTGAGGTTGTAGATGACTTCATAATTAACATGTATCCATGCCCACCCACTACCCAAGGAGGGCCCTGTCACTTTTTGAAAAAATTAAGCACTAGTCTTTTGGGGTGCTTATCTCAAAATGTAGACAAATAGAGACAAATAGATGTCTTTCAGAGATGTCTCACCAATTCTCCAAAAATTCCTATTCAGGTTGGGAAATCAGGTTAACTACCAAAAACTCACTTTCAGAAAATGTTGTTTTGGGTTTGACTCCCCAGCATTGGAAACCCTCCTCTTAGTCCCTGTTGCAGATGATGCATCAGAGGCATCTTCCAGAGAGTCTTAGAGTCTTTCTTTTTCCTGAGAGATTGCAAGTATTGCTCTGCCCATTTTATGACTCCTTCTGAGCACAGCATCTGTGCTCAGTGAGCTGTTCCAAGCATCTCATTTCTGTTTTTGCTGAACCCATTCCGAATGGTCAACATTCATCTCACACCTGGTGACAGAAGTTTGAGGGAGTTGCTAATGTAATCATTGGCAGAATTTTTCACCCTGGCCATGGTAATGATCTTTGATGTGACTTACTTGCAACCACAGAAAGCCTATCTTAGTGCCCAAAAACCTTTGTAGGCCATAATGCCAAAGTTTTTAATAGCACATCTATCAAATGCAATTTTTTGTTCTGTTCATTTTTTAATAAATAGGAAAAGAAAAATGAGTCGCCATAGCTCTGCAGTGTAATTTTAGAATCCTGGCATAAGGCGACAGCTGCTAAGAGAGTAAGAATTAGGCATGGGCCCCATTATAACTTGGCCTTAAAGAAAGGCCTGGCTAAGGGAAGAATAAAACCGAATTGGAAATGAAATTCTCAAGACACTCCTAGGTATCAGGGACACAAGAGAGATTAGGAAAGACAAATGTCCTTTTCTCAAGAAACTTAACATTCTTAGGAGGTGGGATGGAGAAGGGAGACCTACAATAAAAAAAAAAAAAGAAGGGGACAAGATAATTTCAGATGCATCAAGTGATGTATTTGAGAGACATTTCCCTTGCAGGTACCCTTCCTATTAGGAATTCATGGAAGGCCTTTCTTGGGAGCTGAATTTGGTTTGAGATTAAAAGCTGAGAAGGAGATGGACATAGGAATGTATGTTTTTGGAGGAGAAAGGGAGAAGAACAGCAGATGTGATGATTCTAAGACAGAAATCAGACTTGTAATGACCTAAGAACACACAAAGGCAGCCAATAAATCTGAAGCCAAAGCACAAATAGGAGATGAGGCCAGAGTAGCAGGTAGAGCCCAAGTGGCATGTTGTCTGGGAATTGGATTTGGATCTTATTCTAAGACCAATGGTATTTAAACAGGTGAGCAACAGGATCAGGTTTATATTTAATAGATAACTCTGGCTGCTACATGGAGAATAGTTTCAGGGAGGTTAGAAAGCCAGAACTCTACTGTAGGAACTCAGGTGAGAGATGCTGTTGGTTTAGATTAGGGTGATGGTTGCAAAGGATGGACATAGTGGATGAGTATGGGATGTTTTGGAACAGAGCTGATAGAACTTAACAGTTACCTTACTGGAAACGTGACTAAAAGGAAATATTAAGGACAATATCCCAGTTTGGGGGTTTGAATTCCTGGATAGATGGTGAGATGTGAAATACTGTGGAAAGAACAGGTTTGCAGACATCAAGAGTATTGTTCCAGCTGTGCTGTTTGAAATGCCTAATGGGATTATTTTACATGAATTTGAAATGCTTGGTGAGAGCCCAGTGAAGAGAAATCATTAGGGCTGGAGGGAGGGAGGCACCATGAAATCCCAGCCATGAAAGGACAATGGGGGAGGTGGTAGTTACAGGACCCAGGAGACAGAGAGGGTCATGTGGAAAAAGCCAATTAATTGGAGCTGTGACCTGAGATAGAGGGGTACAATAAGCCCTCGAAGGCTACTGGTAGCCTAGGAAGAAAGCCAGAAATTTCATGGGTATGTAGAGATCAGTCTCCCAGTGGAGCTGGGTAGAAGGTAGGGTAAAGGGTGGAGACTGGATCTGGAGGTGCAAGGAGAAGACATCCAGTCCAAATACCAAACAAGGTGCCATACAAGCAGCAGTTGAAGATATAAACTCTGAGCTTAGTAGAGAGACCAGGACTGGAAATACAAATTAGTGCCTCGCAAAGCATCTATATCTGAAGGGGATGAATTTAGAGATACTTTTCCTAAAACTATCTTCAGAATTTTTTTTCAGTCTTCAGAATTTAAATTATCAGCCTCCTTGGATAGACTTGGCCTGGGGGTATTGGGAAGCATTGAGAAATACGGGAAACAAGTTACTTTAATTGGGTCATCTAGAAGTTGTTTAGAATTTGGATGACTAAAGAAATCTGTTAAATAGAAGGAGGATAATTTCAAGCTCCACCCCACCTCTCCAAATGAGATGACACTACAGCTCATCTAGCCCTACTTCGAGGATTTAATAGAACAAAAGTGCATTTTGGCAACTGCCAGTTAATCTGTGAAGTTTTAAATCAAACTCCTATGAAGAAAAAAAATAATGATTTGGGGTTGCCTTATGGAGAATTTCTTTTAATTAAAATAAAGCATTTAAGATTTCACATATGTGTACATCATTAATTATGATCACAAGAAGATGTTTAAGCTGAAGCTTTAATGTCAATCTATGCATACTGGAGAGTCACAAGACTCTTGCCAAAATTCAGCTCAGCCAAAATGACAAGTGGATCTGTGATCAAGCTTCACTGTACATGTGGATTTACCGAGGAAAGAAAAAAAGAACTTTAAACTTCAAAATAATTTTAAATATTTCTTATCTAACTAAGAATGTTTTAAATCTGTATTCTTCCAGAGGGGTTAGAGCCAAAAGGCCTATCTCCACCCCATAAGAAGAGCAAAGCAAAGAAGCCAGAATGTTCCAAAGACTCCAGTGAAGGTGAGTCCTGTTCCTCCTATCTTTAAAAAATTACTCCATGAAAGGAAACTTCTGGTTAACTTTTAAATTAGATGTGTGCTCTCATGTTCAGGTATTTCTAAGGGTTCAAAAATCACAGGAAAATTCTCTATCCTTTCCTAATATGTTTATTCCTCTCTGAATGTGACGACAAAATATCAGATTTAGGTTTAATTTTTAAAGGTAAAAACCAAGTTTGAAAAAATTTTTTTTTTTCTTGTGATGTATTTTCTGCTCCTGCAAAGCACTTACAAGTTCTGGGCTCCATCATTGCCTAAGGGTGAAGGTGGAGACCTGGGTGTGATGAACAGTGCGGGTAGCTAATGCCTTATCGGGATCCTTGGCTTTGTTCACAAACACATCCTAAGTCCAGGGTATACCTGAGCAATGGGTGCTGGAAATGCTTCTGGTCTTTCATGTTCTCTTCTACTTTCTAGAAGCCAGTGTATCTTTACATTAAATGGACAGGTTCCACTGGGCTCAGTTTTCTGAGAAATAAAGCCAGTCTTTGGCTTACTTACAACACTAAGCCACCTACAAGATATTCAAATTTTTCTTTTAAAATGTAAATCGGGTATTTTTTTTTTTTAAGGGAGTCCGTAACTTCTGGAGAATATATGAACTTCTTTTTTTTTAAGATTTTATTTATTTATTCATGAGAGAGAGACACACACACACACACACAGAGAGAGAGAGAGAGAGAGAGAGGCAGAGACACAGGCAGAGGGAGAGGCAGGCCCCATGCAGGGAGCCCAACGTGGGACTCCATCCTGGGTCTCCAGGATCACGTCCTGGGCTGAAGGCGGCGCTAAACCGCGGAGCCACTGGGGCTGCCCGAATGTATGAACTTCCTAAAGGAAAACATATTTATGCTTTCTAGTTTCTTGCATTGGATCCTCACTTCATCCACTGTGAAATGGAGAGCATGATAATACTGACCGTGTCAGCTGGGGTCTTTGGGAAAGAAGATGCCAGGATGAAATAGAAGTGCAGGAAATGTGTGGGGTGGGGAAGCCTTGAAGACTGAAGGGAGGAGAAGCAGGGGGAGGTGAAGGAGAGAAGGAAGAAAAATTAGTAGGAAGAGCCCCGTGTGCAGTACAGTCTGAGAAAGTCTGGGGAGGCCCAGAGCAGACTGGCCATCACAGTGGGCTTGCACGGGGCAGGAATGGCCCTGCTCCAAGATCCCCTGCCTCCAGCTCACTTGCTGGCTGCAAACAGCTTGGGGGAAAAGTGGCCTCGGTGTGAACATGATACTGCAGTGGTTCCCCCAAAGTGTGGACACTGTGGCCAGTGGACACTGTCAGCTAACTTCATTCCCAGCAGCACATTCTCCCTTGAAGGGAGATCCTGACCATCTCTCATCCATGACAGCACAGCATCTGCATGAGTGTCAAAGTTCCGACTGATAAGTAATGACCTGCCTGCACCCTAGCCTGGGTTCAGAACCAACTGAGAAGGCAAAGCTGTAAGAAAGTTTGAAACCAAAAACATTAGCTTTGTTACTAGTGAGGTTAGATTAGAACATCCGGTGGCCCTGCCCCCAGGTGGGCTTCCTAATGCTGGACTTCACTCCTGAGTATGACAGATGTAACCTCTGGCCCCTCAGGAGCAAGTATCATTGTCCTTGGTGTTATGGGCACCTGGATGGAGGCTACCCTGGTGAGCTTATTGTATGAAAAAGACCAGACCAGGACATGCCCTCTCTGGACAGGTGGATCTGAGAGAGACTCGAGATGGGACTATTTCTTTCCGCAGGCTTGGATAAATGAGGGGATGAGGAGAAAGGCACAGCAGTAAACGCTCTCTGCTCTTTGGTTGAGGAGTGAGACATAAACATTTCCAACTAACAGTAAACAATAGAAATGATTTGAATAAAATGCCTAGCACAGGTCCGGCACTCATAATGGCTATTAGAATTGCCACCATAATCAGCACCATGAGAGGGTGCACATTGCCCTGATTCCCTTAAATGTGCTTAAGAGCTTAGAATCATTCACAGAGAACACTTTGAACCATGGAGAAGGCCGGCAGCATTAACCGGTCTTTGGCCCTAAGAGAGTAGATGGGATTTTCACCTTCTACTCTAATGAAGTCATATCTTGGACAGTCTCTTCAGGCCATGATTGGGAAATGGGTTAAGGGCAAAACAATAATCGCCTTTTCCTTGGAGACACCCTACCTCACCCAGTGGTTCCCATCAAATGTCCAACTCACATCAAGGGTTGCTTTCCAGAGCCTGCACCTGTGGTCATTTTGAGTGTCACATGGTGAGGGATGAACTACAGCAGTTCTGCTCCATAAAGGAATAAAGGTATTCCTCCCAGGTATTCCTTCAGATGACTACAAACTTCTTTTGCCTCCTAAATAATTTGTTTTGTTTGGGAATATCATTCCATAATCCCAAGATGAATAGATAATATGGCTTTACCTTACCCAAATATGTGGCCTCAGAATATGCTCTGAGGCACCAAAGTGCCATCACTGTGGATTAGTTACCAAGGACATTCTGTCTGTGGCATCTTGGTGAAACCTAAATGTTAGCCACTCTATAGAGACACGGGAATTGTGTGTTTGTTCCTAAAATGACTTTTGGGACAAGAAAGGAAAAATGGCTGGGAAAATGGTAGGAAAGGGAGTATAATTTGACATGCTGGTAGTAGATGACTCTAGGATAGGCACTCATGATTCATCGATGTTTCTATTTTGACAAAACAAACTATGTCCTGGATTCATGTTTCATATATTTCACCTCCTCTCCTGATTCAAAGAGTTACAATCTTGGACTGGTAAAGAGTGACAATTCTTTCCCACTATTCAAACGGAATATTATATGGGTGGAGGGGTAATACACATCATGCTCCTTCTCTGTGGTAGGCTTCCCATTTCTAGAGTTATCAGTCCTTTTCCAACGTGGTCATCATATACACACACACACACACACACACACACACACATATGATGCATATATATATATATATAATGAGAAAGTCTGATATACTTACAGATAGAAGTATCTGATATAAGTATCTGATATATATAGTAAAAGAAGCTTCTGGTATTTTTATTTATAGATCACTTGGCTTAATTCCCCATCACTTGGCCTCATCTTACTTCTCCCTATCTTTGGGTTCCCAGGCTTGATCTTAACCCTTATGGGTGCTTCTGCTTACCTCAGTTTACCTTACAATATCCATTCTCAGACAGGATAATAGAGAGTTGAGTTGGAACACAAACTCACCTAGATTTTTCTGGCATATATAACCATAATAACTGTATTTTGATCCAGAAGAATTTTACAAACATATGGAAAGTTATCTCATTCTACAGATCTGTTTTAAAGTAGACTGCAAATGGTTTTTTAATGCGCCCAAGGTCTATGCAGCTTGTTAATGTCAGAATCTCTTCTTTTTTTTTCTAGAAACAACATAATTTCGCTAATCCTTTCCCCTTTCTCTCTTCTGGAAACTAGATCTCGTTTTATTGAAGGAGGCAATATTGCCATTATTGGAGCCTTGATCGAAAGCTGTAGTACTTTAGTAAATGGTTTACAAAGTACTAAACAACAAAATAAACAACTCCCACATGTACTTATTAGCATTTTTTGTATGGTGGACTTTTGGATATAGAGGGTTTTTTTTTTTTTAATGTTTCGATTTAACTCTTATGGACCAGAGTATACTTTGACTTGACCCACTGCAGCACCATGCCAATAATGAAATGATTAGTAATTGCAGATTGGCTGGCATCTGATATAAATGATAAGCTATCCATGAGCTGGCAAATTATAGGCATAATTGTTGGAAAAGCACCTGGTGAATGGCAGTTCCAGCATTCTCAGGACCTCGGACCAATTTTTTTCTTACAAAAAAGTTCATTGAAAGAATATTATAGAAAACTTAACACCATTAAGAAAACATGTTCCTCACACTCTTTCCTCCATCTTTCACCAAGAAATCCTTTAGAAGTTCCTTTAGTGAAACTCTTTCAGGTTTTGTGTGAAATCATGATTATTTTGCTAGTTTTTTAAAGCAGTTTTTCTGGGTAAAAATTTTGAGTTGATGGTTATTTTCTTGCAGCATTTAAAGTTTTTCTCCCCATCTTACCAGTTCTGCAGTGGTTAGGAAGTAATAGCCCAGTCTAATTGTTTCTTTTTAGATTGTCTGTCTTTTCTTTCTGGCTCCACCAACAATCTGGTCTTTATCTTTTTTTGTCCCTCGGTTTCAGTATGATAACCTCAATGTGGGTTTCTCTTTATCCTTTTTCAGATTTGCTGTACTTCTTGGATATGGGAGTGGACATTTTTTTTAGTAAAGTTCTGAAAATTTTTCTACTGTTGCCTCACCAGATACTACATCTCCACTACATTCTATTCCTACTCTCTCTCTTTCATGACTCCTAAACTACATCGCTCATTGTTTTTTTCTTTCTTTCTTTCTTTTTCCCCCACTATGTCTCTATCTCTCTTTTATGGTTTCTGGTTACTTTTTTTAAGCCTATCACTCAGTTTGCTAATTTTATTTAACTTTATTTAATCTGATTTCCATTGTTATCATCTTCAATTTTATATTATTTGGTTCTGTTTCAAATATAGCTGGTCATTCTTTATTTAATAACCACATAAAATATTGAAAAAAATAACCTGTATCTGAAATTTCAGTATCTCCAGTCTGTTTGTGTAAGTCAAATTCTGTGGTTTATTGCTTTTGCAGATTCATGATTATGGTTATTTCCTCGTATATTTTGTCTTTTTTACTGCCATGTTCTTTAGATTTTTATTTGTAGGGACTTTTTGAAGTTGGATTAATAGTTTATTTATTCACACGTTGTTTCTGAGATACCTGACGATACTGTTCATTTATGGATACCTTAAACTACATATTCGGCTTAGAGTTTTTTGTTGTGTTTTATTTGCTATTTGTCCTTAAGCCCATGTTAGTAAATATATAAGATTAGGAAATCTCAACAGAGACTTTTCTCCTCCT